AGACACTGTTAACATAGCTGTGTGATGTATGTGTAGTGCAGCTCTTTGCCAGTTGAGGACTTTTGCAATGCCGCAGCAGGCGTTATGTCATGGCTCAAAGCAAAGAATTAATTTGGCTCTTTGGAGGCCTTCTCTGAGTCCCCCGATAGCTTCTCAAAATGAGGACAGCTGGTGAAGAAGGTCACCGAGTGCTGTATTTTAAGAAAGGCAGAAATGTGTGCATGTGGTTTGTTGACAGATGACTGGTCTTCAGAGATGAGATACAGATTTAAAAGCTGGCTGGAGAACTCTAGCTCCTGCTGGTTAGGGTGTCCAAACCGAAGCTGGACCACACGTACATAAATGTGATCGAGCGTGAGCACACAGAGCATTTGATCATGGTTGCTTATGATTTCAAAAGAACTATATCTTTTAACCAGACCTGGAATTTACTTGTCACCATAGGAATTCCAAATTTTGATTATCCAAAACTTCCCTCTCCCAAATCCATTAAGCCTGAGGAGTAGATTTCAATCACGTCTTCTCTCTGTGTACTAAACTCCTGTGATTTCTCCTCTGCCAGGCTGATAAGATATCAGCTGGAAGCCACAGATCACAAGAAACTCTGAAAATACCACAGTTCTCCCTCCTTCTTCCCTAATCCATCCATCTTTCTGTCATTCATTCATAGACTGTTCCTTTTGGTAAAAGGAAACGGCTGTCTTCATCTCTCGTCTCATCACTCTAACAGACGGCCCTTTGCTTCTGATTACACGCACACACCCGCGCGCACGCCATGCGCTCACATGTTTCTCAGAAGTGGCTGGCACCCTTCAGACTTCTCTGCCCTCTGCTCCCACCTCCCCGTTCTCATGAACCAGGGTGTCATCAGATGGGAGAAAAGATGACAGATTTAATCAGAGGGTGTTTGTGCCTCAGCAGGCAGGGTATAAAAAAAAGACTGCACATGCACAAACACACATGCGAGCACACAGTGCGAGCAGGCTGTCCCACCCCTAAGTAGGTCATGCGCAGTGAAGAGCAGGGCGGGGGGCGAGTCGTGGTGCATCTTTAGCCATCTGGTTTTGATGTGTTGGATGGCTGCTCTGTGAGACCCACGGAGAGAGAAGAGAAAGGCAGAGAAAGAAAGATTAGAGTGAGAGAGGGATGGAGGAGCCAGGGAGGCATCTCTCTGAGAAGGTGACCTTGAAATGCTCTGCTTGGTGGTGCGGGGGGAGCAGGCTCTGTTTTGCCACTCAAAAACATCAGAAAGAGACAACTGCAGAGCTTCCTTAATTTCAAACAATGAGGCACAGATGCAGTTGAGTTACCTGGCTGATAGATTTTTACATACAGATCTGTAACAACGATCATTTCAACTAAATGGAGAGAAAAAAGTGGTTTCTATGCATTAAGCATCATCGGTCTGTGAATTTCAGTGGAGACAGGTTAAAATCAACCCCTAAAATTAGATAACTAAGTTTAGATAACATGGCAGCAGACTGAGAAAGTGAGCTATTACTACTGAATACCAGACATCTATTTTTGCAACTTAATTTACACAGCACGTAGAGCTGGGCGATATGAGATTTTTTTCATATCACGATATGTTTTTTTCATTTCAGGCGATAACGATATCTATCACGATATAAGCCAAATAACTATATTTGTAAGATTTAAATGTGCCGTTGCTCACAAGTAAAATGTGAAATAATCAGCAGCTTGTTTTTATTTAAATATTTATTTCCCATAATAAGTTCAACAGGGTAGATGTACTTAAGGAACATGAGACTTTTTCAGATAAATAAAGGCAAATATTGCAAACTACACAAAAGGCAGCCGCTAAAGCGTTTAAGTTTCAAAACAGAACAAACAAAAACAGACTAAATTGTCAGTTCCACTTAGAAACAAAATATTAATTCTAAAAATAAATCTTAGTTTGTTTTACAGAAGAACAGACAAAACTAACTTTTGTCAGTATCAAATAAACTGAGAACTAAAAGGAAATTCTCAATCTCTCCTTGTTGTATAGCTGAGCTTTTCAAACAGTTTTAACAGTTACTTTAGTCTGACAAAAGCCGAATGACGAATTAGCGCTTCCAGTCAGAGACTGAGGCTACGTCCACACGTACACGGGTATTTTTGAAAACTGAGATTTTCCGTTTTCGTTTTAAAAAATAATCCCGTCCACACATAAAGGCAGAAATGAAGGAAAACGCTGCTATGAACATGCCAAAGCAGCAGGTGGCGCTATATTACTAACCGTGCAGAAATGTTGGCCAATCAGAAGTCTAGAAGCCTCGGTGGGAAAAAGTAAACAAAGCTGGGGCATAGAAGCAGAACCGAGTCGTATGTGTGGACGGACAGTAACTGTGTGTATATGTAAGCATTTAAACACTGCAGAGAGTAGAATTAACAGTATTGTAGAAATTCATTTCACCGAAACAATAACGTGGCGCACAGTGTGACGCATGCACCAGTTTATTGTATTTCCAGACTTGCTTTCGGCACAATTTACAGTGCACGCTACTCTGTTTTTTGTCAGACTTGAAATAGCCGAAATACCTTCACACTACGGAACTTCTATGGCTCTTCCGTTCGACAATCTCTCCGGCATTGGAACCGTCATCTGTTTTCTCTTCGGTCACGCTCGGTAGATTATTCTAGTCGGCACACTCATTTCCTCCATTACGCGCTGGCTCCATTACCCAGGGCAGCTGTGGCTACAACCGTAGCTTGCCTCACCAGTGTATGAATGTGAGAGTGAATGAATAGTGGCATTGTAAAGCGCTTTGGGTGCCTTGAAAAGCGCTATATAAATCCAATCCATTATTATTATTATTACCCACTGCCTGCTTCCCAAACAAACACACGTGCGGCTTGGCACTTGTGCTGTACGTAACAAGTCACGCGACGTGACGCTGCGGCTGTGATTGGTTCGGCTCTGCGCTACTTAGTTTGGATTGGCTGACCTTTTTTTTAATTTTTTTTATTTTAAGAGGACAAGAGCGGCGAAGTCTATCGCGATAGCTTAATTTCTCTATCGAGTAAAAGTTATATCGCGATACATATCGTTATCGTTCTATCGCCCAGCTCTAACAGCACGGGGCACTGCAGTAAGCTTCTGCAGCTCTGTTTGCAACTTTTACCATTTAATGTGTTGTCTCAACTAGAGTAGACGTAAAAAAAACAAACACATTTTCAGTCCCAAGATTTTAGGATTGCACCCAAAATTAGTGCCCCTAGGTGTGATAACCATCCAGAGACTAAACAAAATAATATCAGTTTAATTTATATTATGGCGATGCTTCAAAGTGCTGTGAAGGCGAGCACTTTGTAACAATCAGGTTTTCTCATTTAGCTATGAAGGGCTCTCAAATGAAATGGATGTGCCATCTCGTGAAGTGGAGAGGGCAGAAAATTGTAAAGTCAAGAGAAGCATGGGAGTCCTTGACCTTCATCCGGACTCCTCCGCTCTCTCCGTCTCTCCCATTCTTGGCTATTCTTGCAAATATTTTTTCAGATATTCATTTGTGCAGTTTGCCAGCTGTGAATTTTCTGGTCGCCGCTATAATGACTGTATGTCTGGGGATTGGGGGGGAAGGGGGGATGGAGGGGTGTACTGCAGGTGAATCTATCACAGGAGAGTACGGCTTTGTGTTCAGCAGTTTATTCTGCCTGAAGTTCCTGCAAGATGAATATATCTCTCAGTTTTGTCGCAGCAATATTTGCTTCCATTCATTCAGGTGAGAGGTGCATTTGTATTTTTTTCTAGTTAGATGCTGGATGCTGTCAGTCTGTAGTGGGGCCCCTCATTCACTCAACAGCAGGGACCAGTATCTCTAAGACAAAATATTGATCCCTGCTAAGTCTTGGTGGGACTCAGGTACTTTCGATCTCGCATTGTGCTGACGTGACTGTACCGAGCTGTGAGACTTTGACACCATTCATCTTAGCAGCGTTTCTTTTAATTACTGCTCTCCCGTGGGAGCCAGCCGAGTAGTTAAACAGAAATCAGCATTACAGCAATTATTGGCTCGCAATGACATGAATACAATCTTGTCATCTGTAATCATTGGGGGCGTCTATGCCTCGGAGAAAACAGCTTCTCCTTTCTGTTTCTCAGTGAGGGCAGGGCGGATACAGTACATGGATATTGTCGGGATCCTGGTCTGCCTCAGCAGATCAAGGTGCCTATTCAGTGCAGAATGTCACGGTCCCTATCTGATGTTCAGCATCGAGCCTTTTTGTTCAGGCTGTGTTATGGAAATAGGCATGATTCATGTTATTATAGTCTTTAGATAAGAGGCATGGAAATAACTGCAGCACCTACTGTATCCAAGCACTTACAATCCAGTGTAGACACTGATTGTTAAGGTTGCTGTAAAGGGTGAAAACTTTAAAGCTGCTCTAATGAGGTCGCTCATACTGATAACCCCGCAGAGAATTGTTATGCAACTTCCCCTCAGCTCATCCAGCTCATTGTTTTGGTCCCACAACATTACTGTTTGGTTCACCCTAGCCGTGATCTGCAGCATTTCCAGACAAGTAGGTCAAAAAAAATCTCCACTGTACACCAAACAGGAAACACAGAAAGTTAATGAATCTCTACTGAAAATATATAAAAATTAAAGAAACAGACTTCTTCCATTTTGTGACATCTCCAGAAACTTTAGGAGAGACCTATTACTCTTCTTATTTTCAGTAATATAGTATCATCTCAGGCAAAGCAATCCCATCCACCTGCTGATCAAACCTCAAAGAGCTGTAGGTCGAACTCGGTTGGTGGTTTCTATTCATCTGCAAAAATGTCACAGTCCCTAGCAAGATACTGAACACTACATTGCTGATAATTGTTATCTACTCTGCACTGCATGTGGAAAAAACAAGTTGGCAAGATGTGTAAAGGGCCATATAAGAACCAGTCCATTTACCAGAATTGGTTGTTGGACCACACTGACATCATTAAATTTTCTTCATTTACGGATTCTTGGTTGATGTTTGATTTTCTTCCTCTGCAGTTACAGAGCGATCTGGACCAGGAGTACCAGGACAAATTTCGCCGGCTACCTGTGGAAATCCAAGAGTTTGTTCAGGACAGCAGCAAGGCCAAGCTGAGCGACGACAGCATCCATGGAAACCTCGTTTCCTCGTCGACAGCAGAGAAGCTGAACCACAAGGCGTCGCAGTCAGAGGACGACACGGAGGAGGGGTCGTCGGAACGAGTCTACGAAACCCCGCTCTAGAGATTTAACCTTGACCCTTTGGGACACTGACTGGTGGACGTGGTTATGGACACAGATTCTAGGATGAGACTGCCACTTTGGTCCTAATTGTAACCAGTGGGAGGATTAGGTCAAATCTGAGCCTGAATTGGTGAGTAGCGGTCCTCTCTGCGTAGAGTGCAGTCTTGTCCAGACACCTGTTTTTCATGTAAATAATAACCTTTTGTGTATTTGTATGTTACCTGTACGTTGTCGTCTCTTTCGGTACGGCCACAGGAGGTGTTAGGAAACACTAACTATTTGCAGGAAATAACTTACTTGAACTATTGCACAGAGAGAGAGTAGTTTCTTTTTATTCTTTTTATTATCACGATGTTTGCAGTAGTGCTGATCAGAGAGGCGTGTCGTGCCAAGGGTTGGTATTCACTTCACAGTGGATTTTAAATGGAGTGTACTGTAAAGAAATCATTATATATCCAGCCTTTAAAGCTTCCGTCTCTATAAGATTTAAATTCACCTTTACATATTTGCACTGAAGGCTCACTAAACCCTCTCTTACTTTAACCCAGAGGCACTGGTGGCTTGCTGGTTCTTGAGTTTGTTCTCACAGAACTAAGCCTATGCGTTGCTGCTAATTTCCTTTTTGTTTTGTTTTTTAAAATAATTTCTTTTGGGGTTTTTTTTTGTGAAATTTGGAAATATTCTTAAAAAATTATCTGCCATTCTTTCTTTGTTCTGCCTCGTATTTGTTTTGGGTTTTTTTTAACAAGTTTGTGGACGATTCTGTCCAAAGAGGACAAGAAGGGAACGTTTATTTGTACAGTGTCTGCATGTATTTGAACAACTGTAAATGTTAACAAGTAGCTCTGTAGCAGAGATGTTTATTAATGTAAATCTATTTTCTCTGAAACATTTAAACTTAACCTGCAAAACAGTGGGCTCAGTGTGGCTTGATGCATCACTGCGGAATAAGCTGAACAGGACTAAAGTAAGTAATGACACACCCTGTTCTCTAGATGCAACGCTAGCCGGCTCCTGCTCACAGATTGCTCATTGTATTCTTTACCTTTGCCCCCTTGACTAAAACAAACCAGGACATTCAAACAGAAGAGGATCCTGTTGTAGTTTGTTGAAGCGGCCTTCCTCTTAACTGGTTCCCTTTGTACTTACAGGGAAACCTTGTGTGCACAATACACACAGAGAATGCCCACAGAAAATACGTCCCCCTCGGGCATCGTCATTATTTTTATTATTATTTACCCACGATTGGAGTCTAAAGCGGGGAAACTGTGGGGAAATGGTTGCATTATTTTCAATCAGGTGCTCAGTTTATATCTGCAGAACACCAGCGTTAACATGAACCTATGAATAACTGGACTCCTCCCCCCTGTAACATGTGAACTGTGCTAATTCATTAAGTTTTTTTTTAAACTTTCTTCCGCCCAGTGCCACCATGGGTGTGCCATTTGATATCGAATCATATTTCAGCTGATTTTCCTTTTAGAAAAAGAGTTGAAAGTGAAGGATTGCCTGACATGTAAGTACAAATACCTTCTTTTTTTTTTAAAGATGATATCGATGTGAGAGTCCTGTGCCTTTTGAATGGGTTTGCCTTGTTTGATGTTGAATGTGTGAAATGCATCATTGTTAAAATTGCCATTATATAATAATATATGAAGCTGTCTGGTATTGAATAGACCGTGTGCACTTTTTAGTACAGTACCACTACTGAGTAATGCTTGTAATGAGAAGTATTTAACATGTGACTCATAAAGGCAAGAGAGACATTTTTTGTTTTCTTTTATGTCTTGAACCACTTTATTTAACAGACTACCCCCCCCCCCCCCCCCCCCCCCCCCCCCTTCTCATCAGTGTATGCACTCTGGAAATGTAAATGTACGTATGACACGAAGGTTAAAACATGAAGCTGAGAAAAAAAATCTAGTGTAAAGGGAACTTGCTTGTAATTACAATAAATGTGGCTATTATTGTACTTTGCTGGAGTGGAGTTGTGTGTCTTTTGATTTGTTGTGCTGAACTTAATATTGTGTTGGTTTGTTTTTTTATTGTTACATCTTACAGATTTCATGTCTATGTATGTAATGTGTTACAGTTACATACATTATATTAATCCTTCCTGGTTTCAGTGGTGAAACCAATCCTGAGTTGGTGTTTTGGGGGGGGGATTCCCGGTAGTTACGTTTTTTTCTTGAAGTGTCTTGAACCCACAGTCCGTAACTCAGCAAAGGCAAAAAAAGAACAAAAATTGTGTTGGAAACAGCTTAATGGTGTCACTGCTTTCTTTTAAAAGATGAATCAGTGTCTGAAACCCAGTTACAGAGTATGTTTGGAAGCATCTGTGACGGGTATTTGTGCACTGTAGGCTGGTGGGGTTGTCACACTCAAGGTAATGGGCAGGCAGGGGAAGCCTTGATGACCTGCTTCCTGTTATCTCCCAGGTAACAACACAGCCTGCCTATAAATAGACTGTTCACTTCCTATTAATGGCATTGTAATGAAATTGGCTTCAATTTACCTGCTTCAAAACAATAAACTCAAAATTGTATTAGAAATCTGGTATTGATTATGTCACAATTGAAATAAGAACTAATAAAGTCTTTTTCTTCTGTCCTACATGGAAAATACTTTACAAGACAGCCTTGCTCAGTGCTACTCAGAGACACCATGGTTGTTGTGGTAGGCAGTGGCCGTTATCAGGTACCTGATGCTGCAGGTTTAAAAAAATGGGCGTATCCACAGTGACATTAACCACTTGTTTTTGAACCTACCTTGAAGCCACGGCTTGATCATTATAGCTGTCGCTATTTACAATTTTGAGCAACACAAGTTGAGGAAGTGGTGGTTCTAGCTAGCTCGCCCTAAAGCGTACCCTGCTCTGTTGTCTATTTTACTTTACGTGTGGCCATAAATTGCAAAATAAACATCCCGTTGCGTTAAATAAGAATTTAAACCAGGAAGTGAGCTGATAAACACATCAGGAAAGTGTTAGCTGAGATCACAGATCAACTGAACAGTAGGGTAATTTTCCCAAACACGGCAATAAGAGCAGTTGCCACCTGCTGGCCATTTGAAATAATGCAGGTTTAAGGCAATCTTTTATGTACAGTTTATATCTAAAAGCAGTGTCTACACAACAGGACGTTTTTGGCAGTGGGGGTACCCGCAGTTTAGGAACATCTCTGAAGTAACCCTAACAGAAAACCTGCCATGGCTGGATAACAGGAGAAGTCATATAGAACTATTATGCAAAAACATGCATAGTAGGGTTGCATGCATGTAGATGTCCATAGCCATGTTTGGATCAACACCCATCTAGTTTGGCTTTTCCTCTGCCTCAAAAGTCAAATGAATCTTAGGCTGCATCCATAGACCTATGGGCAGAATTATTATTGTTTGCACTTGGATGCAACTGCAGTAATATCTAATCACTCCATTTCCTGAATGTCCAGTGGTAACACTTATTTTTTCATCTTTAGCACATTTACAAAAAAACAAAACAAAACCAAAAAACTTGTTACACATTGTGTGAGCGTTGGTGGAGTCTCCCGTGTGAGTCTGTGTACGTCTGTGCTCACTGTGTCAGTGTGCTTGTGTGGGTGACTTTTCGGCTGTCTCTATTACATTTGTACGTGCTGCCAGTGTATGTGTTTTCCACACTACATAAATACTGTGCCCTTCTTAGTCTCAGCTCCACAGCAGAATCCCCACAGGCAGCCAGAGATAAGACAAGCCTAGTCGTCCATAACAACCACTGTGACCATTCAGAGGCCTCGGTGCATGTCGGCAACTAGGAAGTGAGCTAATTAACCTCAAGTTCAGGACGGAAGGAGAGCAGCTTTTTAATAAGATTCTCTGGGTTATAAAAACAGAGACGCCCCTCCAAACTCCCAGGAATAATATCGCTCTGCGTCTGTCCATCTGCTGCGGGGACGAAGAGAAGGAGGAGGAGGTGTCCTGTAACACCAGGACAGAGAGGAGAAGACCGCAGGATGCTGGCTAAGGTACACTGAGCTCTCTCTCACTCACTCACACACAAACACACACACATACATAGTTACATAGGCACAAAAACACAAGCAGAAACTGATGTGAATGTTTGAGTGAGCGAGTGAAATGCTAATCACTGACTGCCTCCACTCCTTGGCCCCCAAATATAATCTTAGCTCTCTCCACTTTCCCTCAACTATCATAACACAACCTTAATCCCAAAGTTATGAATGTAATGTTAACACTGAACTTTGCCTTAATCTAGGCTGGATCAAATTCGGATTGTGACTCTAATATTATCCGTACCATTGTTAAACTATCAGACCATGTCCTAAAACCTAAAAATGTCCCATTTAGAGGGATGAGGAAAGACACAGTGCCCTTGGTTTGCAGGGTTTTCCTCACTATACTTCTGTCATCATTTTTGGCCCATTTAGTCTCTGAAGCTCAGAGACTGCCGACTATTTTTTCCTCTAATGATGGAGTGGCTGTAGTTGCTTTTGTACCATTTAGGAGACTGATTGTCATACAATAATTAATTTTGAAAACAGTGTCCACTTAATGGGTCCTTGGAGGCAGGAATAGGCCTCTGAAAGCTACCGAAAGTGTCCTGTAGCTTTCTTAAACTTAACCTTAAAAATAACCTTTTTTATATTGTCTTCGGTTACACTCTTCACATCTTTATTTGAGTCAACTTTCTTCTTACTGCTGCTTGTAAACAGAGGATTTAAATAAGAGGTGGATGGAGCTTCTGTGCTTACAGTCAGAGCTGTGTGTCTGATCATATTAAGCCCATCCCCTCTTCCTTGACATCATACACAGCAAAGCATAGAAAAAACTTTGTGAAATAAAGCATATAGAGCACTTTGAAGCCTCAACTTTTGTCCCCCTGGGATTGCTTACATACTTACATCTAAATTCTGAGCTCATTATTTTAGACTTTGGTCATGTTTAATATGACCAGTCACCATTGCAGCACGTTATATACATATACATGATAGAAAATAAAGAACGGCATAATATGAACCCTTTTACAGAAATCCTGCATTATAAATCGGGAGGATGTTTTGACATAAGTGGGTTTGGGGATTGTAAGGTGCAGTATTTTTGGAGCTGCATTACCTCCATACTAAGCACTGCAAGTCATGACATCTCAAATAAAGCCGTCAAAGGAGTGTATCTTGTGCACACTAGCAATATTTTTTATGTGCATGCTTGCAGCTGTTTAGAACCAAAATATATTATAAAACATGTAAACATTAAATCAAGAAAAATCCCCCAAAAGCTTTGTTCTCATGTGACTGAATTTGTTTTTATACAGTCTAATGCCATTTCCATAGCTTTTATAATGCAGTGCAAAGAGATTTGGTGTGCAGCTCCATAGATGTTCAAAAAACGAAGTTAAAACTATAGAAATATGTATATATATTTTTTTTAAATTGCAGAGCTGTAGCATCAAACACGAAGTAGTTCAGCAGGATCTGGTGTGAAAATGAATAGTGGATGATATCTAGACAACAGCGTCACAGACTGCAAACATATTTCCAGTTATTCATAGTTTATGTAAACCTAAAAATAATATCTTAGAAAAGACTGTTACCGTACATGAAAGTGGTGCCACTATTAAAACTAAGTGTCATAAAGTTGCTGTTGTGTCTTTAGGGGAAGCAGGCCAGCATCACTGTGACTTTACAAAGGGAGGAGGGGGGGGGCACTGTTTGTCTTTATCAACGCATGGCGGCTACAGTAGTCAGCTGTTAGAAAACGGGGGCGGAGCTGGATCTGGTTCTACCGGATGACTCACTCCGTTAACCCAAAGCACACTCATTCACTCATTTACACGCACGCCACCGCGCGATCGCACACGCACGCACACACCCATTCGCGCGCAGGCACGTTAGGTGTGAGTGCAGTGTGTAGTGGTGGGTGTGGGAGGGGATGGGGAGGGCTGCCCGTCTGAAGAGGGGTTCCTAATCAGCGCGCATCAGCACCGTTCATTCTCCACTGGAGGGCGAGTGGTACAAGAACACCGGGACACTCCGGCGGGAGGGAGGCAGAGTAGACAGTCGGAGGGAGACGGGATAGAGCAGCAGCAGCTGGAAGACACGCAGACAGGCGGAGACAGAAAATCCCTACCCGGACCCTGCACAGCATCATTTTCTCTCCGCCGTCGGATTAAACCCCCTCTCCATCTCCAACCGCGAAACCACGTAAGAAACACACATAAAGCTTTCTGATTGCTGCCGAGAGAACAGTCAGAGTTTACCGCGTCTTAGGTTAAGGGCTGCTCGGTTAAACGTGCACCAGACTGAGTTCAATTTAATGTGTTTGTTTTGCTGCCAGACGGGCGCTGGACCCTTCATTAAAACTCCATCACGCTAGCTCTCAGCGGCACTCTCCAAATCCTGCTCTCATCAGTCAGACATCCTCTCGCTGCCTCACTCTGTCAAACACACATACACACACAGCTGGAAGCAATAGCATTTGCTAGCTAGCTAGGCAGACGCATTTAAATAAACCTTTTGGTTTTTATTATCGAATTCACTCCAGCTTTGCTCGGTGAGCTCTCTGCTAGGTGAATACGGGACTGCAGAGAGCCGCCGCGGCTTGAAAACCTGATGAAATGCGGGGCTTATTGACGTTTCCAACGGCTGTGAGGCTAGCCAGCGGAGCTAGCTGTAGCGGGACAGAGCAGAAGCCAGCCGATGACAAGCACAGTGCACACTGCACAGTGGCCATAAAAGTCAACCAACAAACCCGAGATTTTATTTCTTGCATTTACTCTAATGGGTGCTTTTTGGTTTATTGCACTACATATTTGGAGCTTAATGCCCTGCGAGATTTGTATGATAATGTAAATTTAACATGCAGAACTGGTGCATTCTCAGTCTGTTTGCTGCTAGTGTGGTAGCTGCAGCTTGCCATGCATGCATCCATCCCAGCTTTGCAAGGTGTCATTGATTCACCGTTACGCCAACTAGAAAACAGTGTTTTTCGTGTGCCCGTAATGCCAGTGTTTAATCAATCAGCACAACGGTGTTAAAGTATCATAAAAATAGTTGCATGGGTGATCAAATGTCATAATTTGTGTGTGAAATCATTCACGGTGTGCTCCTTGGATTTTAAACAATCTATTTTTGATAGGGGAAGATGTAATCAGCAGCTTTCCTTGAAACCAGAGCAAATGACAGCCGAAACTCAGCAGGTTCTTCATTTTCATTTCCAAAACCAGTTTTATCCGTTACACCCCGGAGGCAGAGTGATATTTGTTCAGGAATAACATGTGCCTGTGTGTGTGGAAGGGGGTGAGGTGTGTGTGTGTGTGTGTGTGTGTGTGTGGCGGGGGGGGGGGGGGGGCTGTGTAGACTTGTTTGCACCGTATAAAGTATTATTTTCCCCCTAACATTAACTTAAGAATGAGTGTAGAAACAAACTTGTTGCATCAGCTGTTCCCCCTGCTCTCACCAACTTGCTCTGCAGCGCTTATTTGCATACTGCATCCGTTTTCTTTTTGGGGGGGAAATTGCTGCACAGGTGTCTACTAGTGCATATTAAATCGACCATCAAGATAGCTGTGGTCAGGCAGCAAAGAGTGCGTCAGTCCCCGTTATTGTGAAACCCTCAGAAGGTCGCCTCCCACTCCCTCCTTCCAGGCGACGTCCTCTGCAGCCTGTGAAACATCGCCTCCATTATGTAAAGAAAAACAAATTCTGCTCTGGCTTATTGACACTGCCACATAAACGTTTGACTGGCGATTACGGAGGCAAACATTACCCTCCCTCGCACAATAACAATCCCTTACCTGAGGCTTAAACCCGGACTGCGAAGCATTTTGATGAATAGAGGTGGACTAAGAAGCTTAAGAGTTTGGCTGCATCGTCACAGCTTGCGGGATAAACCTTGTTATATTTGCAAATTCTTCACTTGATCTAAATTGTTAACCATCATTGTTAGTTTTACCGATTAGAACAAAAGTGACTCCAGTTTGCCAGCTTCTGTTATCACTGGTACTCTTTAACGTTTATCAGCCTTGATAGTAAAGCTGGTGTTATTTTCACCTTGTCCATATGTCCTGCAGGCAGCTACTGTAGCAGGAACTACAGACTGAAGTACTCAGACCAAGTTTTGAGTACTTTGCATGTGCTATGCTGGTTTCCTGAAAGCTGTAGCCCAGTTGATGGTATCCCAACCATTCAAGATAAACATAACTTTATGGGTTTATAGTTGAGCAAACATGCCAAGTTTGAAGGAGGATCCCATGGCATGTTGCCACTTTTTTTTTTTCATTTTATTTCTGCCAAGGTTATATAATTGCTTCAGTTTGTTCTTTCTCTGTTTAATAACAGTGTTATTAACAAAGTGTTACATTTTACCGTTTACCTTTGGAGTTTCATCCTGAAATTCTTTGGAAATTGAGAGACATTGTCTTGATGATCTCAAGAAAATACCACAATCTGGATCCAGGAACTTTATTTATGCATGTGGAGGGAATCTTCAGCCCAGACGGATGTAGGAAGTCTTGCACTGCTATGCATTTGTAGCTCCTATATGAAGGTTTTTAAATATTGGGATGTGGTTTTAAATCTCACTGTAGATGCTTCTGCTGATTTGGTGAGGACAGACTTCCCAGTCCAGCAATTTTAATTGAAGTTCAGGTGTATCTGGAGTACACTGGAGGGACACTTTTATGGCTGTGAGATAATTTGTAACTAAGCATATTATTATGTATATGTTCAGTGCAGAGGAGATTTAGCTCTATTTAAAATGTAAAACTGGGCAGATTGAGGGTGTATACTGGTATATTATATGCAAGCGTTAAGCCAATAAGAAGTTAGTTTAGAATGAAAAAGCTGAACTACATTTTAAGTCTTGGATGTAAAGACAGTGTATGAAAGAAAAAGGATGAAACTAAAACAGCATTTCAAAGCCTGGCATTGTTTTGTTGTGGATGTGAACTTGATTAGGCCATGAAATGTGTGTAAGACAGACATTACTCAGCATCAACTTTCGGGGTGTTTGTATCTCTGTGGAAAGCTTGAGATTGGCTGTAGGGTTTGGTCCAACTGGAGAAAAATCTCTTTTTCTCTGTCTGTTTTCTCACAGCGTTATTCTTGCCAGCATGATATCGATTTGCTCGAAGGTTGGAGGTTTATTCTAGCGGGACTGGATTTGGAATCCATCCAGTGGCAGTTTACTGTATATCTTGATTGCCTGTTTGTTTGTTAGTTTTTTTCTAAGACTAGCACACTTTCTCTCCATGGTTTCTGTTAGACTTGGGAGGGCCTGGTCTAGAGTCACTGACCTTTCTCCACCTCTGTCAGTTTGTTTTAACAGTTCTATGATTTGTAGAATCGTTATTTTCTCTTTTGTGCTCCTGCAAAGAGATCTTTGAAAGTGGAAGTCCTGAAAGCCAGATGGACTAACAGACCAACAGACGGGTAATGTGGGCACAGCGACTGATAGGACCAGTGTTGTTGTAATATGTTGAAAATATGCTGCATCGCAGAGCTCAACATGTCTGAACTTTGTTTTCCCTGGCAAGGGAGTAAGTGGAGGGAATCGGGATGCGTTCATCTCTGTGTGTGGTTGTATCTCAGCTCCTGACCTTCCTATTGTATAGCAGGGTTTTAGAACTCAGCCAAATAAGTCCACATTCAGGGTTTTGTTATTTATGAAATTCTCTCCCCTTCTAACTGTATGTCCTTTTTTGTCTCTGCAGGCCGAGATATGAACTCCCGCTGAAATTATTGATGCTGAACTGGTGAGTTTTGGGGCTGCCAGTGATCGCTGCAGCAACACAAATTTATTTTTCTTGCGTTGTGTTTCTTAGTTTGTTGTTACATTCTGCCCAACAGCGCCGCTGGCTTACAAGCCCCTGCGGCAAATATTAAAACGACACAGCGTCCAGAATTTAGTTGAACATAAAGTTTGGGAAAACAGAGCTTGCAATAAATCAATCAATGTAATGTATGTGTCAGTGTTTGATCTAACACATTTCTGCGTGTCTGCGTGCACTAATATCTACCTGGATCTTATTTTCCCGCCACTCTTTCTTTGAGGCCTCATTAGCGAATACAGACACTTTCTTTCCCGCATTAAATATTACAAACACGTTGTGCCGAGACAGACATCTTATTGGATTTGTGCTGAGTGATGAAAGCATGAAGTCTAAATTTTAATTGTATCTTTCATGAAAGGCTGATATTCGCTGATCCACTGCACACATCACTCATTGATAAGTAGGTTGCGTGACTGAAGCTGTTGCTTTGTGTTCCCCCGTGCCAAGTTTGACACTTTAATGAAGCTCAAATGTGATTGCTGCCTATGTGTTCATGATATATTTTGTATTAATGATGTGTAGCATCAAAGCTGTCTGTTAGCTTTGCCTGGTTCATTTTCATATGTCTCCTTTTATCGAGCAGAGAGGTGTGTATTATCTCTAAATTATTCTGTTGGCAAGAACCATATGACTAACTTGATAGTGACTAGGAAAAGTAATTCTTAAAACATATCTAAGCATTACTTTGGAAACATGTTTTATGATTATCACATATTATAGTTTGTGATAAAGGTTTGATTATTGAACAGTAAGCTGGTCTCCGCTGCAAACTGCTGGTATTTCTGAAATACACAAAAGGTGTCTTTTGGCAGTCTGTCCCAAAAGAGGATGGATATCGCTCCTAACTTGACATATTCTATGGAATACAGTCGTGAAGGTTTTTCAGGAATCTATGCCGTCCTGTGAAAGATTAAGTACACCCTTCTACAGGAATTAAGAGGGTAAATGGTAGCCAGGTGGTGCCAGTCAAATATGATTAATGGATCAGCTGCAAGTGTGAGAATCTCTATAAAAGCAGAAATTTTGGTAGTTTGTCGGTTTTGAGCATTCATGTCTATGTTAACGCAATGACACAATCTTCATATGAGTGAACATCCCAGCAAACTCACCCCAGGGTCAGACCACTCAATTCTCTGAGAAACTGCAAAACCCTAAGAACCACAGCTCAGACTCTACAGGCCTGTTAGCATGTTAAATGTTGAAGGTCATGACAGTACAGTTGGAAACACGAGAATTCAACAATATGGCTTTTTTGAAGGGTTGCTGGAAGAAAGCCTCTTCTTTCTTATATGGCAGCACAGATTAGGGGTGTAGAGTTGCAATCTGGACAACCACAAGACGTCTTGAACTATGTCTTTTGGACAAAGTGGAGATTTTGGCCATTATGATTCCACGATTATTGGTGAAAACCAAATGCAGTATATCAGCGCAGACACTTCATACCAACTGTCAAGCATGGTGATGGAGGGGCGTGATTTTTTTGCTTGTTTTGCAGATACAGTACATGGACATTTGGAGTCATTGAGTTGACCATGAGCTTCTCTGTATACCAAAGTATTCTACATCTGACTTGGCTGAAATTGGGTCATGTAGCAGGACAATGATCACAAACACAGCAGTAAATCTCTAACTGAATGACCGAAAAATAAAAAATCAGGGTGTTGCAGTGACCTAGTGAAAGTCTAGACCTCAAACCAATTGAAATGTTCTGCATAAGCAGATGCTCACAAACTTTGATGAACTAAAACAACTTTGTAAACACAAGCGGGCCAAAATTCCTCTGCAACAATGTGAGAGTCTGTCTGTGAAGGTTCTCAGTCATCCAGGTCATCGTAGTCAAAGGAGCTTGCAAAGAAAAGCGTCTGGACTTCTTTAAGTTGCTTGAAGACGTTTCACCTCTCATCCGAGAAGCTTCTTCAGTTCTAAGGTCAAATGGTGGAGAGTCCCAGATATAAACCTAGTGGGAGTGACCCCCCACAGAGGGACAAAAGGACCCCCTGATGATCCTCTAATCGCCTGAGCCAAGGTGGGAAACTGGGCGTGGGTCCCAATCAGCCAGAGTTTCGGGTGTGTGTGTGAGAGTCTAATAAAGTCAAACGAAAACTTATTAGAGTTGTTGTTATAAAGGTGCTTCTACAAGCTATTGAATCACTTTGTTTTCAAAGAGTTCTGTGAAGACTTTTTCATGTGTATGTTAAGAAAACAGGGCATGAAGTGACATCTACAAGTTCAATCTTGTGATTTACATACCTGGATAATTATGCACTTGTTGAAACAAGTGTTATAAATATCAGTTACAACTTTATACTTGCCTTCCAAATAATGTTTATAGATGACTTACAGAGTCTTTATTACCTGCTTAAAAAGTATGATAAACATTAGTTGTAACCTTACTGTAACCTTTCAGAAAATGTTAATAGATGCTTTGCAGATCAATTTTTAGCTCACACTATTCGTTTACCATTTCTTAAAATGGTTATTATAAAGTACTGTCAAGAATTTACTAATAAAACCCCATCCTATTGGGTTAAGCTTCTACTTTAAATCCACCTGTACCAGTGTGTATGGCTTTTCACAGTAATAGATCGTGGGTAAATAAAAAAAAAAAAAAATTGGTGGTCATTGAAATAGACTGCCATATATGTGGCGCTTTTCTAATCATACTGCCCACTCAAAGTGCTATTTGCTACTATGTGTCACATTTAATCATACATTCATACAATATTGTATTTGTCACAGTTTTAATACTTGATTTACGTCTCATCCATAGCCAGTTTGCCTAACAAGCATGTCTTTGAACTAAGGAAGGCAAAGTAAACCCAGCAGAAATCTACACAGATGCAGGGAAAACATCCCAAGGTGGGATTCAAACCAGGAACATTTTTGGTGTGAGGCAACACGCTAAACATCCTAAGCTTACACTTCAGTAACTACATGTGACAGGAAAGAAGGGAACACCCAATCCTTTGTAGACAATGAGGAATAAAACAGCATTCAATAATCATAGTTTACATTATCAGTTTTGCCATCATGCCTCACCTTATTTTAGCGTGTGTACCATCCTGCTGGTGCAGGCTAAAAAACGTTTAATTACCAGTGTTAATGGTTATCAATATTGGATACAAATTCTTTTTACCAACATGATTTTTTTTAAACTGTCATCATGTTATGGAGCATTCCTGTAAAAAATCAACACCTCTTTGTGTTGAAGGATAAAATAATAAGTTCAGTGCTTGTTCAAACGGAGAACATAAGATCCTTCCTTCTCACACGTAAGAGAAGCGGTGTCAGCGGCAGCAGAGTCAACACACCTAAATTCCCACTGCAAATATTTACACGGATCCAGCACTCTGCAACTTTGTCCTACCCTGATGCATTTTAAGACCTTGGCATTCATTGAAAATATGGATGTGACAGGCACCTGAGGCAGCACCCGGAGAGAGAAGATATTACTTTTGGAGGAGCTTCATCTTTTAATGTAATCAAGTAGCATAAAGAAAATGAGTCCTCATAAATGGCCATACCAAAATAGTTACAGAGAAATGTAAACGTGGCAAAGTACCTTCTTTTGGATATCCAAAGAAGCTGTAACACTGCTTTTGTGCAAATGTGGCATCTTTCAGTTGTGCACTTGCTTAGAAAGCTTTCTAAGAAACGACATGAAAGACTCTGTCCTCGGCCCGTGACAAGGATAAAAGGGTCAGAAAAACCTCAGCATCCGCCCCCCTCCCGCCCGCTCTCTGCTCTGATAAAACCACTCAGCTCCACTCCCACAGTCTCATCTTCACGTAACACGATAGCTGATCAAAAAGTGGCCTCAACCCTCACTAATCCAGATGTTGTGGATTATAGAGCTATGTGGGAGTACTATTAGCTGCCTAAACAAAGAGAGAGATCAATGATGAGAACGCGTGTCTTCACTACAAGGGTAAGTGTGGCTCGAGGGTGAATATAATGACGGGGGTATTCTCTGCAGATTCTAAGCCAGCAGCAGAGGGAAGGAGATGGGTGGTGGTGCGAGTGGGGGTGGTGGTAGTGTCGGCAGCGAGTGAAAGCAGAGCAGATAGAGAGCGAGCGAGACTCTTACTCTCACACCAACAGATGGAAGCTACAGTCATCAAGTCAATATTTACTCTTTCTTAATAAAAAATTGGCAGCATCGGCCTCGCTGATTCAGTAGCGGGCAGCAGGAGTATCTGAGCTTGTGCAAAAGAGGATTTGAGGAGTAAAAACAACACTTCAGTGATAATAACTGTGGCTCGGCTCCACGCGTCGGTCTAAAAATACGTTGGGACGAACCCTTCCCTCTCTTTTGTTAAACGCACACACGCTTGCAATGTGCGCATTCACTTTACCCATGGCTCAATCCACTGTGGGGATACATGTAAACGCAATTTGCACTTCCAATTAAACTGTCGACCTTCGCTCCAGAATGCAAAACGTGATTCTGTACCGTCCTCTCCTGGATAGCTATTATTAACCATCCCAGGCCCGTAATAGAGAGCCCGCGGCTTCACAACGCACCGACGAGGATCATTGCAGTCAGCAAAATTATCACATTTATCAACACTGTCAGTACTTGAAGTGGAAAATTAGCAGATATTTTACAGACTTATCGATCAAGCTTTTAATGGTTTATCTGTTTGCGTTACAAATGGGGCAAATGCAGGGAGGTCTTAAGTGTCTTCTTTAGGTGTTTGTTGAAAATAAAGTGGAGCATTAGTGTGTTTTTGGGAGGATACCAGTCATTTACATGAAGACAGAGCACTGTGAGAGAATAAGTTAAGATTCTGAAAACTGCAGAGTACATAGGGCGAGGGTTAGCCTAAAGCATCCCGCCCAGCCTCTAACACAGTTTCAACGCATGACTTGCTGGCCTGATCAGATGACTTGATAAACAGCAGGAATGTTGCTTCTTCCTC